CCCTTCTCCCGTGCACTCTCGATGAACCTGTGATATTGTAGCAATGGCCCTTGAAGTGCAGTGGGGAGGTGATTTAGGAGAATATTAAAGGCAATGTGGAGATTCGAAGGCGCCTCTCTCAGGGAGATCTGGAGAAATACGCAGCACAGATGGGCTGAGCAGATTAAACATTTCCGTCACATTGTTTTCAAATTGTGTTTGCGGTGCCTGAGGGTTGGTACTGCGGTCAGAGCGCGCAAAGCTGGGAGCCGCGCGCTTTATGGAATAAATATTAATACGGCAGTTTCACATGGGCTCCCAATCCCATCAGCGCCGCGGATCGGAGCCTGCCATCGCTATTGTCTCCCGGCCGGGCCCCGACGGGGCTCCAGCTGCACCTTCTGCCCGCTCCCGCGCTGCACGGGGGGCCTGGACGGCGTTGTCTGTCCGTCCTGGCTGCGTGTCCCCCGTGCTGTCCCTGCTCTGGGTGCCCAAGGGGACGTGGGTCCCTCCCGCCTCAGAGTTCAGGCACCCCCAGGGTGGTTGGCGGGGTCCGTGGTGCCGCTTTGCTGGGCCCGTTGGTGGGTTTTAATGGGAAAATTTAATGGGCTAAATCCTGAGCGCCTCCCGTCAGGCTGCTCTCCCCGCGGACGGCCCGACGACTCCTCTCAAGGAGGAGCTGGGCTGTTGTCCCTGCCAAAACGGCCCACGCGCCTCCCGGGGTCATCACTCCTGCGTGGCCTTCCCCAGCTGGGCACCATCGTCCTCCTCTCCCTCGGTACCACTTGCTCTGAGCCCCTTCTCTCCAGCAGCCTCTCACCCCTGTGCTGGGACATGGAGAGCCCCAGCGGAGGGGACACACGGACACCAGTGGGACAGGACACACGGACACCGGTGGCACAGGACCCTGCGGCCACCCCGGAGCAGGTGCTGCGGATGGGACCAGGGGGCAGGAGCAACACCCCAGCCCCAGCTGTGTGTCCTCAGCTCCCCGCAGCAGCTGGGAATTGGATCATTGGAAGCAAGTGGGACTCATTTATTTTTATAGGGATTCACCTCACAAAAGATCAGCCTGGTGAGGGGGGGGGCAGTGGTCTGAGGCGAAGGGTGAGCATCACCCAAATTAACTCCTCCGTGCTGCGGCCTGGATGATGTGCTGAGGCAACGGTGTGCCTGGCCACGTCCCTCAGCTGCTGCCGGCTCCAAAATCCCCCAAGGACAGGTAAACCCTGGATTTCAGAGCTTGCCGCAGCTCCAAGCTGGTTTTCGAGGTAAATAGATGTATAGCTGACCTGGTATAAAACTCCCCGGTGTCAGCCGACCCCTCACACGCCCGCCATACCTCATCTATGAATTAGATTCCTCCATTTTCCTAACAATAATGTATGACACACAAGCACTAATAATGGGGCCGAGCAATCATAAACCGATAAGTCCCTGACTGATTGGCTTTTCCTTCGGCATCCATCAAAGCGTCATTGATCTTCTGTGCGAAGGGGGGTGATTAATGGCCTTCCCGAAGCCCGACGGGGTTTGTTTATGAGGGTTGGCGAAGGAGCGCGGTGGCAAGGAGGGCTTGGGAGCATCGGTGGGGAGTAAATATCATCTGCTGCGTGGAGGCAGAGGGCTCGTGCTCCTCGGGGAGGGGTGTTGGACGGGACAGTTTGAGCTGGGTGGAGCAGGGCAAGTGCTGCTGGAAAGACGGGGCTTGCCAGGAGGTTGTCTCCATCCGAGGCCACGCAGAAAGGATGGTTGGCCGCGGTCCTGTCGCCGCTTTTGTGACTGTGGGCTTGCGCTGCGGGATGTCCCCCATGATGGGGACAGGGGGAATCTGGAGCTGGGTCATTCGGAGACTTCACTTTCCCGCTCCTTGGAAGAGCATCGTCTCTCCTGGGTGATGCTGGAGGAGCGGTGGGGCGAGGCGGGAAGGGAAACCGGGTTGTGGTTGCCGTCTTGTTGTTTCTTTTTCCCCCCCTTTTCCTCCTCCCTTGCCGACAGAGATTAGCAGCATAAAGCTTTTTACGGCCCCGTGCACCAACCCGCCATAAAAGCCCTGATTGCGGGCGATTATCTGAACGAGCGTCTGCTGCGGGTTCGCTTGGCACCGGGGATCTTGGGAATGAAACTGGGAGAAGCGCTCTGAGGGTTTTTCTTCCTTCTGGGAGATAATCACAGCGTTTGGGGAGCAGAGTGAAGCCACCACAGCTGTGTAAAGAATGGCTGAGCCTGATGGATGGGTGTTGGGGTGACCCCTAAATCCAGGTCCCCCATTACATACCAGCCGGGGAAGGGCACTGGGATCCCAGTTTGCTGCGTTTCTGCGAGCGGTGGCTTTGCTCTGCCTCCTGGTTGATGCCTGGTGCTGCCCCCCCACACACCTCGCACCCACAACCCAGGGGCCTCTGGCGTGGCATCAGCACCCATGGGTGCTGCCTCCAGGCCCCTCACACAGCACCTGCTGGAGGATGAGGGGGCAGAGCATCCC